GTCACAGGTCTTTTTGGTACAATCAATTTTTTGCATGGATACCAGAAATGTAAGCATGAAGAATGTATGAGAAATGAAATCCTCTGATCATATGCATGAAACATGTATGAATGGGTCCCAAAAATGTATGAATTTGGCAAAATTCCAGATTTTACATTACCCACATATATAGGGGCTTGCCAGGGTCCCTTGTTGCCATGGACATGAAGACCTATTTACATAAGGTTACAAACCCTTATGCCATTTACTGTGCCGCTTTGCAATGGTTAAGGCTTGAACAAACATGTCAAACCTCGCTTAGGCGGAGGGGCTTGGGAGCCTTGTCTGGTGTGAAACCGAGCTTAGGGTTGTCGGTGCCACTTTTGGAAAAGTGCGCGTCGATTCCTACAAACCCACCAAAGAACATTTGGCTGGTGCAGTGGCCGCGTGCCCAGGTTCCATTTTCTGAGTGGATTTCAATTGAGAAACTCAACAGAGGAAAATCTATTTCAGTGTAGGCTAAAGCAACGGTGCCACAGAGACAATACGATACAGTATCAGGCGTTTATCTGTATCGTCTCAGAATTTGAATACCCAAAAATACCGGATTTGTGTTGTCTCACTTTCCTGAGACATATACATGTATCGTATTTGAAAAGTGAGAAATGTATTCTGTATTGTCTCAGATGACTGATCCCACCAAAACCGTATTTGATACTTAAGATATTTGGCCATATTGAAGAAAAAACGAAAAAAACAAAGACATTTTTTTTTTTTCATTTTTAAATCCAAATCCGATACAATGTATTTTTTCACCAACCAAGGAAATACTGATACTGGTATCAGGCTCAAAATAAATATGATACGATCCGATACGAATACATGTCTCGTATCTGTTGCACCGTTGGCTAAAGGCAGCACAGGCAGAGCCCCATGCGCGCAGCCTTTTCCTGAGCAAACTTGCCAGAGACAGATGTGACATTGGTAATTTGGTATAACTATCAGCACTTCCTGGATTAATTGCTCTGGCAAGCAGGTTTAATGAGACCTCAGACCTGCTTCACCAAGCAAATGCCATACATG